TCTCATGACTATCTGGCAGCTTATCATTTTTACCCTTCAAAATTTTATAAAGCCATGTAGTAGACCCACCTGATGCTGTAAAATAGAAGACATGAGATATTTGGGTCTTTGGGTCTTTTCATCCAGCAAAACTCCAGCTTCAGGGTAGCAGCTTGCTTCATCAATGCCATCACCTGTTTTCCAAGGAACCATTCTCCCCTAATTCCAGTGCTTGTGTGAGAGTTGTCTCTCTCTGTGCTGTCTTTCTGGTGATTAAAAAATGCAGAGGGGAAAAAAGAAAGAAATATTATTACAATACAGCCTTCATTCAGCTGGAGGATTTAGCACTTTCTTGGTAGATTGACGAACTCACAGGATATAACCAAAATTAAACTTTTTTTTTTTAAAAAAAGATGAAATATAACAAAACTTTTAACTTAAAATTTAAAAATGCAGATTTTCAATAGGGAAGGAGATAATTATAAAACTGTTTGGGTTATGGAAAAGAGCTCCTTGATTAAAAACAGAAACTATGCAAAAGACAGTGTAATGCTCCCAGTAGATCATAAGATATTGTTGATCTTCTACCAATAACTCATTACTGTCCCAAAGCCTCCATTTAATAAGAGTTGGGGCAGAGAGTTCCAAATTAATATTACAGTACACAAGAGATTTGAAAGAAAAAGAATATTCCCATGCGTAGCCTGAGGTAGGCTGCACAGACAACATAAAACAGTTTCTTATGTTCTACAAAGAAAGACACAGGTTTTTCACACGCAGGAAGAAGAAAAAAAAATCTAATGTGAATTTCTGCTAGACTTTTTAATATTCCTCCTCCCCCCAATAATAATAATAATAATAATAATGCTGTCTGAAGCATCTGTTCCACTTTTCGTGGATTTCCTCTTTCTCAGACACTCAACTAAATTAATGTTGAGGCTGCTGGGTAGGTGGAAGGAATTCTTTTTGTTTTCTCAGCATTGGTGCACATCTTGTCAATTTCTGCCCTCACATTTGAAAAGACTTAAGGTTTTCTGGAAATCTGAGAACATAATGGTAATTTGACTAGCCGATCATGCGACAAAGAACTTCTCTTCCTCCTGGAAATGCATGTTTGAGGTCTGGCTAAATAATTGAGTTTGTCTGGCACGCAAAGAAACTACATGCAGCACCAACTAGTTCATACCTTATGAGTTCTGGTTATATTACCTTTATATCACTGGATGATTTAGGACCAGGTTGTCTCAAAGCTCTTTCCAGATATAGCTAACCTGGACCAAGTCTTCTTAGGGCCTCTTCTTTGGATGCTCAGTCAGTAGAGATGCAGTGAGGGGCTATTGAAAAATTTCATTGGACTCTTGACATAAAATAGTCTCAAATCAGGGAGTGGACACCCCAAGGGTGCTTTTTCAAGAGACACACTCAGAGAGAAGATAAGTTTCAATCACCTCCCTAGGTCTTTGGGAGAGAGTTTTGGAAATGATTTATATTCTATTTGATTTCTGAGATGTTAAATCGGAGGGTTTCCTTGTTTGTTAGAATTATAATTATATATTAATGTGTAATCAGTCCAAGGACTATATGTTACTCTGTTACAGTGTGGGAATTTAGCCTTCAGTTTAAGGCTTCCTTACTATAGTGTTTGAAGTAGGACCAAAACTAGATATTCTTTTTCCCCTGAATTTGTTCCTTCAACAAAATCTTAGAATAATAAGACCTGGAGCAACTGTAATTGATTCCTTCTGATTAGTTTCAGTGAAAAGCCTTTTTTAAAAAGCAAACTAAATCACAGCATCCCCAAAACCACAATCCCCCCAAAACCAGAGGTGGTATTCAGCAGGTTGTGACCAGTTCTGGAGAACCGGTAGCAGAAATTTTGAGTAGTTCGGAGAACTGGCAAATCCCACCTCTGACTGGAGATTTTACAGTATCCTTCCCCTGCCACGCCCACCAAGCCACAGAACTGGTAGTAAAAAAATTTGAATCCCACCACTGTCCAAAACCTACCTACTTTCCATCCAAATTGCTGGCAGGTGCTTCAGTTCCCCTCAACTGTCATATAGGCTGACTAAGCTTGCCATTAATACATAATTCATGTAGATAGTAAACCATTAATCATAATTTACAAACTGCATTAACAGGGTTCATACAATTTGTTAATACAGTTTAAATAGTAGCAATATCACTTAGACTTATATACCACTTCACAGTGCTTTACAGCCCTCTCTAAGTGATTTACAAAGTCAGCATATTGCTCCCAACAATCTGGGTCCTCATTTTACGAGCCTTGGAAAGGATGCAAAGGTGAGTCAACCTTGAACTTGTCAGGATTGAAGGAATCGAACTCATGGCAGCGAGCAGTGAGTTAGCCTGCAATACTGCATTCTAACCACTGTACCACCATGGCTCCAAACAAACATACCATGACTCCAATACAATCCATACTTTAGCTTCACGTGAAGTATTGATTGTATTTTCATTTGCTTATAAGTTGCTCAGAGAAAACTGTTAATAGGCAACAAATATATTTCATAAGTAAATAATATATGAAAGATAGTTCCTTGCCAGAATGAATGTGAGCCACCTTTTCAGAGAATGAGGTATAAGTCTATATATTGTGTTGCCCTCCAACCCCGTCCTCCTCATCTGCTGTTGCTTGTGCATCTGGATGTGTGCATTGGGAAACTTTTCAGAATAGGTAAGGCAAAGGGCTCTATATTTGGATACACATGATTAGCACAGACTATCATTTGCATATAATTGAAATATGGTAGGTAACAAGTTGAGATAACAGGTTTTTGCTGGATTGATTTGCTGTTTGATGCTAATTATATTCTTATTTTAATTCTAGAAACCTTGGGAAATCTGGATTAAGAGTTTCTTGTTTGGGACTGGGTGAGTATGTTATGTTTCAGAGTGTCTGTGTGTCTATTTGTTGGAGATACTGATTTAATTTGCATAACGTTGATGTTAATGCCAGATAAGTAACTAAATAAAATACTGTGACAATTATTTGTGTACAAAATCATAGTCATGTTGCATTTCCCTGTTAGACAATCAGAACAGACTTGTGACAGTATTATACTATAGACATGTTCACTGTGTTTGTGTTTCTTGGTGTCACAGTAGGAAGATCAGTTTTTAACTATTTATTATACTTTTATAGTCTCCAATGAAAAGATTTCACCCATTTTCCTATGTTGGAAGCTAGGCAGTCTGACCATTTATTGCTTAGAAACAGCCTGCTGGTTTCTCCATAGGTTGGACTATAATTTTCATTATTCCTGAGCCACCTACTGTACATTGATTTTGGGAAAGGTAGGCACTAATTCATCACATGAATGCTCTTCAAGTAAAAAGGCAAAATAAATTGAATGGGTAAATGTGTTTCAAGGAGTGCCTGAATAGATAACAAAAAGTCAGACACATATATTTAATTTGATTTGGGTGCATGCAGAATGATTCATCTGACATGTAGTCAGATTCATACTTCTACAAAACTGTTCTATAGACAGAAATTGCCTCTTAAAGGGAGATGTTCCCAAGAGGTATATATCCTTGTTTGTTTGTTTTTTGAACCATCATCTTCATTTATTTCCAGATTCAACTGGTTATTTCTACTTGCCATGCAGTATTATAATGCATTGAATATATGATTTGCCCCCTAATTATCATAATATTAAGAAATTCTAAATAGATGTACTTTGTCACAAATGAAAATAAGAATAATTTGAAAAGTAATCATATTACCTATAGATTCAAAACTTACTTGTAAGAAAACAAGTCATAAATGATTTGGAGAGGAAGACAGATTAAGAGAACATTCAAGGCCTATTCCAGTCTTTCCTGATGCAATACCTTCAAAATAGGTTGGGACCACAATTTCCAGTGTGGCTTGTCTATACTTAACTAGACATTCTAAAAGTTTTATTTTAACTCTTCAATCCAGGGGTGGGATGCTACCAGTTCGGCCCGATTCTATAGAACCTGTAGCTTCAAAGAGCAGCTGACACCAAACAGGTTCGGTGTTTGGCCCACCCGCCTGCCTGGGCCCTAGGCTGTCCTTTATTCCCTGCTTTTCCCTCCTCAGCTGCTTTGCGCAGCACAGGGTTGAAAAAGCAGGAATCAAAAGGATTTTCAAACCCTGCGCAACCGCGCGCAGAACTTGTCAGCTGTCCAGGCGGCACAGCTGATGATTTCTTGCAAACACTGCACACACCCGTGTTACGATTGTCCGCAGTTTGGAGAATCGGCAAATCGCTCCACTGGCTGGCCCCACCCCTCCCCGCCCACTCACACCTTACCTGGCATGCAAGCCATCCAACTTGCCTGGTTTGGTGAGTTGCTATTTTTCCTTTTTTTTTTCTCCGACCATCAGCTGTTCTGCTCTGCCAGGAGATTTAGATTAGCTAGAAAGCAGGAAATCCTTGGATTTCTTGCTTTCTAGCTAATCTAAAAGCAGAGCTGAAGCTTCCTTAGGACTGAAGCTTTTCAGTGCAGACTCAGGTAGCCGATTGCAGATAGATAGATTTCTAAGTGAATCTGTGATTCTGTGAGCAATTCAATCTGCCTGCCTGCTTTGCCTGTTTTTGGGTAAAGGTTACTCTTTTTTTAATAAAAAATTCAATATTTACATACGTGGTGTGTTGTGAGTTAATGTTGTTTTGTTTGTTAAGTTTGCTTGCAAGCAAATTTTATGTGACAGACTAAGCTAGTCGATGGCAGAAACATAGATCTCTGAATGAATCTGTGATTCTGTGAGCAACTCAATCTGCCTGCCTGCTTTGCCTGCTTTTGGGTAAAAGTTGCTCTTTTTATATAAAAAAAATCAATATTTACATCAATATTTATAATGTTTATATACAAGCCACACTCGCCCAGTCACATGACCACCAAGCCATGCCCAGTCAGCAAGCCATGCCCACCCAGTCACATGACCACCAAGCCACACCCAAAAATTAGGCCACACCCACAGAATTGGTTGTTAAGAAATTTGAATCCCACCCCTGGTTCAATCTCATAACACGTGGACAGATTCAACCATACCTTTAACTGGGAAACCATGAGCATCCTAGGCCAAAAATCCTAGGAGATTCTTGGAAAGATTCAGATAAATCAGCCATCAACAGACAGTCATAAACTACATTTACACATCATTCAAAAAAGACAATAAGAAACTAAGCAGGAAACAAGATCAGAATACATCATTTTTAACAGCCTGCACCAAGATAAACAGGGATTAATATCAGACAAATAGTCAAGCAGAAAATCATACCCCCTCAAAAAAACTACCAAGAAGAAAACCACACACCCCAAAATCATACCCCCACCAAAACTGACAGGACAAGCCCCACACTCACTATCAGTTATGAAGTTACTTAGTTGGGTAATGAATATCTGCAAGGAAATAACCAACTCAGAAAGCACCTAGCACAAATGTGGCCAACCCAGTTACCTTGTGTGAAAGCATGGATATAACATAGTAAAATTGATTGGAATCCTGGAGTCACAATTTTGAGATGAGCAGC